AGAAATAGGCGCCCATAGAGATAGGCGCCCCTAGAGATAGGCGCCCACAGAGATAGGCGCCCCTAGAGATAGGCGCCCCTAGAGATAGGCGCCCCTAGAGAAAGGCGCCCCTAGAGATAGGCGCCCCTAGAGATAGGTGCCCATAGAGATAGGCGCCCCTAGAGATAGGCGCCCCTAGAGATAGGCGCCCCTAGAGATAGGCCCCCATGGAGATAGGCACCTATCTCTCTAAGCGCCCCTAGAGATAGGCGCCCCTAGAGATAGGCGCCCCTAGAGATAGGCGCCCATAGAGATAGGCGCCCATAGAGATAGGCGCCCATAGAGATAGGCGCCCCTAGAGATAGGCGCCCATAGAGAGATAGGCGCCCCAAGAGATAGGCGCCCCCAGAGAAAGGCGCCCCTAGAGATAGGCGCCCATAGAGATAGGCGCCCATAGAGATAGGCGCCCCTAGAGATAGGCGCCCCTAGAGATAGGCGCCCCTAGAGATAGGCGCCCCTAGAGATAGGCGCCCCTAGAGATAGGCGCCCCTAGAGATGGGCGCCTATAGAGATAGGCGCCCCTAGAGATAGGCGCCCCTAGAGATAGGCGCCTAAAGAGATAGGCGCCCCTAGAGATAGGCGCCCCTAGAGATAGGCGCCCCTAGAGATAGGCGCCCCTAGAGATAGGTGCCCCTAGAGATAGGCGCCCCTAGAGATAGGCGCCCCTAGAGATAGGCGCCCCTAGAGATAGGCGCCCCTAGAGATAGGCGCCCCTAGAGATAGGCGCCCATAGAGATAGGCGCCCATAGAGATAGGCGCCCATAGAGATAGGCGCCCCTAGAGATAGGCGCCCCTAGAGATAGGCGCCCACAGAGATAGGCGCCCATAGAGATAGGCGCCCTTAGAGATAGGCGCCCCTAGAGAAAGGCGCCCCTAGAGATAGGCGCCCCTAGAGATAGGCGCCCCTAGAGATAGGCGCCCCTAGAGATAGGCGCCCCTAGAGATAGGCGCCCATAGAGATAGGCGCCCCTAGAGATAGGCGCCCATAGAGATAGGCGCCCCAAGAGATAGGCGCCCCTAGAGATAGGGGCCCCTAGAGATAGGCGCCCCTAGAGATAGGCGCCCCTAGAGATAGGCGCCTATCTCTAGGGGCGCCCCTAGAGATAGGCGCCCCTAAAGATAGGCGCCCACAGAGATAGGCGCCCATAGAGATAGGCGCCCTTAGAGATAGGCGCCCTTAGAGAAAGGCGCCCCTAGAGATAGGCGCCCCTAGAGATAGGCGCCCCTAGAGATAGGCGCCCCTAGAGATAGGCGCCCATAGAGATAGGCGCCCATAGAGATAGGCGCCCCTTGAGATAGGCGCCCATAGAGATAGGCGCCCCTAGAGATAGGCGCCCCTAGAGATAGGCGCCCCTAGAGATAGGCGATAGGCGCCCATAGAGATAGGCGCCCCTAGAGATAGGCGCCCCTAGAGATAGGCGCCCCTAGAGATAGGCACCTATCTCTCTATTGGCGCCCATAGAGATAGGCGCCCATAAAGATAGGCGCCCATAGAGATAGGCGCCCATAGAGATAGGCGCCCCTAGAGATAGGCGCCCCTAGAGATAGGCGCCCTTGGAGGTAGGCGCCCCTAGAGATAGGCACCCCTAGAGATAGGCGCCCTTAGAGATAGGCGCCCCTAGAGACAGGCGCCCCTAGAGATAGGCGCCCCTAGAGATAGGCGCCCCTAGAGATAGGCGCCCCTAGAGATAGGCGCCCCTAGAGATAGGTGCCCCTAGAGATAGGCGCCCCTAGAGATAGGCGCCCATAAAGATAGGCGCCCATAGAGATAGGCGCCCACAGAGATAGGCGCCCCTAGAGATAAGCGCCCACAGAGATAGGCGCCCATAGAGATAGGCGCCCCTAGAGATAGGCGCCCCTAGAGATAGGCGCCCCTAGAGATAGGCGCCCCTAGAGAATGGCGCCCCTAGAGATAGGCGCCCCTAGAGATAGGCGCCCCTAGAGATAGGCGCCCATAGAGATAGGCGCCCATAGAGATTGGCGCCCCTAGAGATAGGCGCCCCTAGAGATAGGCGCCCCTAGAGATAGGCGCCCCTAGAGATAGGCGCCCCTAGAGATAGGCGCCCCTAGAGATAGGCGCCCATAGAGATAGGCGCCCCTAGAGATAGGCGCCCCTAGAGATAGGCGCCCCTAGAGATAGGCGCCCCTAGAGATAGGCGCCCCTAGAGATAGGCGCCCACAGAGATAGGCGCCCCTAGAGATAGGCGCCCCTAGAGATAGGCGCCCCTAGAGAAAGGCGCCCCTAGAGATAGGCGCCCCTAGAGATAGGCGCCCATAGAGATAGGCGCCCATAGAGATAGGCGCCCCTAGAGATAGGCGCCCCTAGAGATAGGCGCCCGTAGAGATAGGCGCCCCTAGAGATAGGCGCCAATAGAGATAGGCGCCCCTAGAGATAGGCGCCCTTAGAGATAGGCGCCCCTAGAGATAGGCGCCCCTAGAGATAGGCGCCCATAGAGATAGGCGCCCCTAGAGATAGGCGCCCCTAGAGATAGGCGCCCCTAGAGATGCGCCCCTAGAGATAGGCGCCCCTAGAGACAGGCGCCCCTAGAGACAGGCGCCCCTAGAGATAGGCGCCCACAGAGATAGGCGCCCCTAGAGACAGGTGCCCATAGAGATAGGCGCCCTTAGAAATAGGCGCCCCTTGAGATAGGCGCCCCTAGAGATAGGCGCCTATTTCTATGGGCGCCCCTAGAGATAGGCGCCCATAGAGATAGGCGCCCCTAGAGATAGGCGCCCTTAGAGATAGGCGCCCCTAGAGATAGGCGCCCCTAGAGATAGGCGCCCATAGAGATAGGCGCCCCTAGAGATAGGCGCCCATAGAGATAGGCGCCCATAGAGATAGGCGCCCATAGAGATAGGCGCCCCTAGAGAAAGGCGCCCCTAGAGATAGGCGCCCCTAGAGAAAGGCGCCCATAGAGATAGGCGCCTATCTCTATGGGCGCCCCTAGAGATAGGCGCCCATAGAGATAGGCGCCCCTAGAGATAGGCGCCCTTAGAGATAGGCGCCCCTAGAGATAGGCGCCCCTAGAGATAGGCGCCCCTAGAGATAGGCGCCCCTAGAGATAGGCGCCCATAGAGATAGGCGCCCCTAGAGATAGGCGCCCCTAGAGATAGGCGCCCCTAGAGATAGGTGCCCCTAGAGATAGGCGCCCCTAGAGATAGGCGCCCCTAGAGATAGGCGCCCCTAGAGATAGGTGCCCATAGAGATAGGCGCCCATAGAGATAGGCGGGGTTTAGGGTTTAGGGTTTAGGGTTTAGGGTTTAGGGTTTAGGGTTTAGGGTTTATCTCTATGGGCGCCTATCTCTATGGGCCCCTATCTCTAGGGGCGCCTATCTCTAGGGGCGCCTATCTCTATGGGCCCCTATCTCTATTGGCGCCTATCTCTATGGGCGCCTATCTCTATGGGCCCCTATCTCTATGGGCGCCTATCTCTAGGGGCGCCTATCTCTAGGGGCGCCTATCTCTATGGGCGCCTATCTCTAGGGGCGCCTATCTCTAGGGGCGCCTATCTCTATGGGCGCCTATCTCTCTAGGGGCGCCTATCTCTAGGGGCGCCTATCTCTAGGGGCGCCTATCTCTAGGGGCGCCTATCTCTATGGGCGCCTATCTCTATGGGCGCCTATCTCTAGGGGCACCCCTAGAGATAGGCGCCTATCTCTAGGGGCGCCCCTAGAGATAGGCGCCCACAGAGATAGGCGCCCCTAGAGATAGGCGCCCCTAGAGATAGGCGCCCCTAGAGATAGGCGCCCACAGAGATAGGCGCCCCTAGAGATAGGCGCCCCTAGAGATAGGCGCCCCTAGAGATAGGCGCCCCTAGAGATAGGCGCCCCTAGAGATAGGCGCCCCTAGAGATAGGCGCCCCTAGAGATAGGCGCCCCTATAGATAGGCGCCCCTAGAGATAGGCGCCCCTAGAGATAGGCGCCCCTAGAGATAGGCGCCCATAGAGATAGGCGCCCATAGAGAAAGGCGCCCACAGAGATAGGCGCCCCTAGCGATAGGCGCCCCTAGAGATAGGCGCCCCTAGAGATAGGCGCCCATAGAGATAGGCGCCCATAGAGATAGGCGCCCCTAGAGATAGGCGCCCATAGAGATAGGCGCCCCTAGAGATAGGCGCCCCTAGAGATAGGCGCCCCTAGAGATAGGCGCCCCTAGAGATAGGCGCCCCTAGAGATAGGCGCCCCTAGAGATAGGCGCCCATAGAGATAGGCGCCCCTAGAGATAGGCGCCCCTAGAGATAGGCGCCCCTAGAGATAGGCGCCCCTAGAGATAGGCGCCCCTAGAGATAGGCGCCCCTAGAGATAGGCGCCCATAGAGATAGGCGCTCCTAGAGATAGGCGCCTATCTCTATGGGCGCCTATCTCTAGGGGCGCCTATCTCTAGGGGCGCCTATCTCTCTATTGGCGCCTATCTCTCTAGGGGCGCCTATCTCTAGGGGCGCCTATCTCTAGGGGCGCCTATCTCTAGGGGCGCCTATCTCTAGGGGCACCCCTAGAGATAGGCGCCTATCTCTAGGGGCGCCCCTAGAGATAGGCGCCCACAGAGATAGGCGCCCCTAGAGATAGGCGCCCCTAGAGATAGGCGCCCCTAGAGATAGGCGCCCACAGAGATAGGCGCCCCTAGAGATAGGCGCCCCTAGAGATAGGCGCCCCTAGAGATAGGCGCCCCTAGAGATAGGCGCCCCTAGAGATAGGCGCCCTCAGAGATAGGCGCCCCTAGAGATAGGCGCCCCTATAGATAGGCGCCCCTAGAGATAGGCGCCCCTAGAGATAGGCGTCCCTAGAGATAGGCGCCCCTAGAGATAGGCGCCCCTAGAGATAGGCGCCCCTAGAGATAGGCGCCCTAGAGATAGGCGCCCCTAGAGATAGGCGCCCCTAGAGATAGGCGCCCCTAGAGATAGGCGCCCCTAGAGATAGGCGCCCCTAGAGATAGGCGCCCCTAGAGATAGGCGCCCCTAGAGAG